CATACATTAATTATTTGAAACTACATTATCCTAGACTTGTACATTTGTACTTCATAAAGTTCCATGTGCACTTCGTCATACATTAATTATTTGAAATACATTATCCAGATTGTACACTTGTACTTCATAAAGTTTCCATCTGCACTTCGTAACATAAGTTTACTAAGAGCTCTAACTGTTTGAAAGGAAATGTTCACATATTTTACTAGAAATTACGATAAGATAATATATTCTGGTCAGGCGCGGCTTAATGGTTAGCGGACCTGAACGTCCGAGGTTTGAGCAACAATATGTTGCTGAACACGACCCGTTCTTTCAGCTGTTAGGACGTTGCTTATTGGTTCTCCCTCTTCTGTTTAGTACTTCTAAATTAGGGATGGCTATGTCTGAACTGTAGAGGCTTCTAACCTGACTGTTTAGCCCATATCTCACATAAGTTGAAAATACCAATACCAAAACCTGCTTATCTGGTTCTCCAGAGACAATAACAATATATATATGTATAGATATAGCTCACTAGAGACAATATCATGGCCTATTATTCACCACGATTACAATTCATCAGGCATGTTAACATGATCCACAGATTACCAGGAACAATAGTATCATCCAGTTTCAATCGAAATGATATATTGTTTCACTAGAGACAATATCATATCCTATTATTCACAAGGGATACAACATGGTATACAGTTCTTCAGGCACAATATAGTGATCCAAGATTACCAGGAATAATAGTATTGTCCAGTTTTAATAGAAACAGTTCTTTGATCTATAGCTCACTAGGGACAATAACCTACTCTATAGTTTACAAAGGTTAATTTCACTTAGTAAGAACGATGTTCCAAACTCCATACTTCCTTTGCAATTACTTTTCTTATTGGTGGTTATAATAACGCAGTGTTGTCTGAAACTGCAATGTCTATTGTAATAAGCTTCTGCGAAGGACGGCAAGGTTAATCTTAAGTTACACATCTTGACAATCTTTCCATAAACCATGCACTGTAAGTAGATGCAAGATATCGAACACACTGGTCAAGTATACCAAAAGCATAAAATGTCCTTTGGAGATGCCTTGAGCGACTTGGCAAGCTTGTAGAGGAATGTGATTGCTGTAATTCCAATTTTTGTTATTATCTTTTTTATGAAAACAGTTGTTAATTTCGAAGTCTGATTGGAAGATTGTGAACTGAGGGCTTGCGAGCTTTCACTAACTTTAAGTTCTACCTTATCTTGTTAACAGAGCCAGGAGATATTTCCAGCTTTGTTGTAGTGTTGTGGTCATGGTTTTTTTGGTTCAAGGGTAATCCCTTTCGCAGGCATAGCCTTCACTTTGTAAACAATAATGTTGTTCCAGATGGATCCCGTTGCTGTCCTAAACACTATGCTGTGTCAAATTTTTAAGCTTCCATGGAAAACAATAAAAACTTCATTGCTTGAAATGTCGTCATTTATCTCTATGTTGTTTTAACAACTTCACTATGTGAATGTTCGTCTTTGGAAATAGCCGTAACGGTGTCCCCCAGCCATAAGTCTACCCTTGGAATTATTCAGGTCGAATTATTAGGAATTCGTCATCACACAGATACAATCGCAAGTAATACCGCAGTCACATATGAAGAAACATAGCACTGTATTAGCATATACACAAATCGTTCATATAAAGTATGATTTATCTTACGTAGTTCAACACAAACTCTTACGATGTTCATTCGCTGTTACTGCTATTAGTGACAGACACTTAGCCCTTACAGAGTAAAGGGTGTCCGGTTTTTCAAACTCAAATTAGTAAAAATTTCTACTACTAGCAGCTAATAATTGTAGGAACAGGTGACATAGTTTACAATGAACTCTTATAACGTTGAGAAGTAAGATTATTGGAAGATACATGTTTGGTATAGGTGTTACCGTGTTAAAACTTTCACGAACACAAAGAATTTGCAATATAACATCGACAATGAAAATAGTTCTTTATTGTTTAATATTCGTAATAAGGAAATCCAAACAATACACAATAATATCCAGTCCAGATTGTTCAATATTCGTAATGAGAAAATCCAAACAATACATAATAATATCGAGTTCAGAATATAAAATATCAAGTTTAAAAAAAAAATGGCTTCGATCATTATTTTAACTTAGTATTTTTGATACTGCAATAAATGTGAGTGTCATTATGATCGTCTTCGTGTTCTTCATGATATGACAGAATTGTCTTTAAAACCATTAAAAGAGTAAGCACAAAAATAATTTTATATGAATAGAACACATAACAAAATCATGAATGAATCTTTGTCGTGATGAATTTTTAGTATTTTGTCTATAATTTATTGTATATTTTATCATTTCACTTGCGAGTTATTTAACAACCAGAAATATTTAAATTTCACGTTTTTCGTGCATTGAAATTATACCTAATTCATGTATATATGTGAGCTATTAAGCCTCTTATATGACTGGGATATGTAAAACCTTTATCATTATATAAATTATATACATATTTCTATTTTGTAATTAAAGAGCTACAATGCAGATGGACCGATAAAAAATTGAACTTTCAATGTTCATGAATACATGGTGTCTTTATTGCGTTTTTTAATTTATTATTCAAAAGTTTGTCAATTTGATCCGAACACACACAAAAAAAGAAAAAGCAGAGCAATATTAGAATAACTGGACTACAACCTGATTTTACTGTCTTTAATATTTGGAAAGTCCCGATCAAATTATCCGATTTTAGATCGCCCCTTAGTTCGCATAACTACCGAGAGAAACTCTTGTCTTGGAAGTTCGAGAATTACTGGGTGTTTCGTCATTTCTTTAATGTAGATACAAATACGTGAAGTCAAAACCTCTTTTAGAGAGTGCAACAAACAATGATTTTGATAACAGATATCTGGAATCACGAATTCGATGGACGACATCCCTGTATGCCTTAGCTTAACCGATTTCGAAATTTTCCAGCTTGGCATAGTCAAAGGTTTCGAGTTCTTGTTTCGGTTTCTGCTCCTGCTGAACCTTCCTGCTTGTCTTCTTCCGATGAGAAATGACCGCCATGGCTAGACAAGTTACTGATGATATTAATAAAATACACACCACAATGATAGACTTGTATTTTGGAAGAGACTTTTCGGAGTCTTCTTTACTTTTACCTGGTAGTCGGAATGGACAGCGGGCTGCCAGATCAGGGTTCACTAAAATGTAAACAAAGTTTCTCAGGGGACGATAAACATATATGATAGTCATTCGCACGTTATATATCGTGTAAATTTAAACAGCTTATTGAATACTTGTATTATAGTACTTGTCCCCTTCGTGTGAAAGAATCCGTCTGTATCTCATAGGAATTAAAAGTTTGCGTATATGCTAATTAAAACCTCCCCCCTCCCTTTGTGCAATAATGTGTAATTTTATTTACACGAAGATTATTCAGACATCGGCTTCTTTATTTTATTGCCCTTTTATTACAGAAACAATGGTCAGATAGACTAGACTCTTTCTCTTCTATATGTACAGTGTCTTGCAAAAGTATTCACCAACACCCCCTGCAAAATTTCCACATTTTGTTCCCGTCTGAGCTTGTAATCATGAAACTTGCAAATGGGACATTATATTTAGAATCTACACAATCTACTCCAAACTGAGAAAGCTAAAAAAAAACACTGATGTTATGTAAGTAAGTTAGAATTTCAAAGAAAATTAGAATATTCTCAATTCAACCTTTTGCTACAACAACCCTAAATCATTTCGGGTGCAATATATTAGTTTTAAAGGTCACAAAATTAGTGTAATGGTTTATGTCTGTATGTAATCAAAGTGCTTTCAGAGTAACTAAACCATTAAGACCAAGGAGCTTTCCAAACAAGTCAGGGAAAAAGCGGTAGAGAAGCACGGATCAAAAGAAGGTTACAAGAAAATTTCAGAGTCGCTGATTATCCCTTTGAGTACTGTGAAATCCATCATTAAGAAGCGGAATGTGCTTCATACCACCCAGTCACTACCCACAGCAGGCTGCCCTTCCAAACTAAGAAGCCGGGCAAATAAGAAACTGGTTAGGGATGCTACTGTGAGGCGAACAGTGACTTTGAAGGACTTGCAAAGTTTCATGTCTGAGATGGAAGTCAGTGTTCATACATTGAAAACATCCTGGTCCCTACACAAAGCTGGCATAGAGACATATCCAAAAAGACTCACAACAGTAATTGCTGCCAAAGGTGCTTCAACAATCTAGATTTAGGAAGTACTGAATACTTATGCAATCAGTACAAATTTCAATTTAGTATTATTTTCTTTAGCTAAAGTTTTGTAGTACTA